AAGAGGTGTCAAACAGGATTAATGCCGCCCCGCCCTTGTTCAATCGACGATATTGCGACCCCACAGATCAAGGGCAGACAAAGCAGTACCAGCACGGTCCCTGCCGAGCCTTACTTTGTCCTGAGAGCCCTCAGTTCTTCTGTGAAGGTCTGTTATTATGCCCCCTTGTTTGAGACTGCCTAGGTACAGATCCTAATTAGTACTTCCTAGGCGTTAGCCTGAGTCAACCCCCGGAACCCTAATTTTTCATTTTTATTGCAGCTGTTTATCAAATGACAGATCTCCCTGAGATTTGTGGATGGGTATCTTCATTCCTTTCCAACAATTTTAGTCTTCGATTTCCGTTTCTATAGCAGATCGAAGGGAACGGCTATGGTCAACGATTGTTCTTTTTAAGAACGAATGTGACAATCAGTTCATCACTCTAACTTTATTATGATCACTAGTTTCTGTTTCTATTATAGGTACAATGTCAGTGGTTATACCCAACTTTACTTAATTTGCTCTCTATTATAGGTACAATGGAAATTCTATATGAAAATGAAAGGTCTCTGGAAATGCGAACTTTTGGCTGTTATCGATTTTAATAGGTGTCACAGATCACGAGTTATGCTCGATCATAGGTACAGTGTGAACGGTACATCCAACAAATCTTCCGTTTTATTATAGGTAGAAACAATTTTTTCTGAAGTGCATATTCGGACAGTCAAGTGTGATTGGCGGTAATACACAATATTTGCATACTGCCACCTGTATCCGCAGTTATTTTCTGCCACTCAAATTCAACTATGCTTTCGATAACTGATAATTATAATTTGTATTGTGTGCTTGACTTTTGGAAGCCAGTGTAAATTTTAATTACGTATAGCAGAGACATCAGAACTTATGCTAAAGTTTCAAGCCACTAAAAGGTCATTAATATTTTTAGTGTAATTTCTGATATTTAAGGCAGCTTATGCTCTGTACAACAAGTTGGCTAACTTTCAATGTTTACCTGTTACTCAACATCCTAATATAATACTCATAAGTAAAGACAGGAAGTGCCATATTTGTATAAAACCATGAATAAATGCTATTTATTATGAACATTGTTCATATTTACTATTTTCCCTCTTAAATTTCTATCAGAAATACATGTTATATTATTTATCATTATCATTTAATGAAAATCACCAGTGACATAATATTGTTACGAATTTTGTGTACACGTAAATAATTTGAGTGAAATTATATGTAAATTGCAGTATTTCTTGTACAATATAAAATGAAAGGCTTCAAGAAAGCGAAGCTTCGGCAGAAAAATAGGAAAAAAGGACAAATCCATTTAACACAGGAAAAACCACCGCCAACCTGGCGATTTATTTTTATCACCAAATTTGGCGAAAATGCTCCTACTCTGGCTTTCCACTTTTCTGGACATTTTGACTGGTATGACTGCAGATTACAATTTCTCATAAGGGAATTCCGGGTTTTAGCATAGTGGTGGACTGCTTTCAGTATCTTCAGTGAAGTCTCAGACTTACTTAGCATTGTGCATGGACAAAGTGTTACACAGGTCTCAGGCTATTTTCCCTTCTCATCTAAGGTTTTGGTTCCGAGGTTATGTGCACCAAAAATTGTACGATAGTGCAAAAAACCAAGAACTATGTATCTTGTTATATGTTAAAGAATGTAAAAAGAAATAAGTGGCATTAGATCATCATTGAAATTGACGATACTCAAAAAACATTTCTTTCCAAAGTCAGCAACCAAATCGCAATTTTTTTTGGTAGGGCTGCGATGATCAGAAAGCATCTAAAAACGTAAAGGAATGATATGCTAGTTTCCAGGAAGGTTATTGTTGACCAAGTGAGCAGTGTTGCATTCTGTACGGGTTCATGGATTTGGAGTGCTTAACAACAACCCTTGATGAAGTATTATAACACAATTTATTTGCCAGTATTACCCAGGACAGCTCCAAAAAGAAGTTTACAGTCGCCGAAAAAACTATGACAAAAATTGAAACAATCAGTACTACAGGCTTCAGTCTTTAACGGTGCAGAAAACTTCGTGGCAAAGCACAAAAGTACCGCTCCCAACTTGCTGAAACAATCAGCAACACAGTCTTCAGGCTACAACGTGGAGACAGTACCACGGTGAAGAGTACAGCTCCTGCCTCGGTTCACTCATTCTCGGAACTTTACGTAGTCTCCCTGCTACAACTCGGGATGCACTCGACGATAAGCACTAGAGTACAGCTCAACTCGGTTCGATCGTTCTCGGAGTTCAACACACTTAAGATAAAACTCGACGAGGCACTAACTCGCAATCAACTCACTAGACTAGGCACTGACTGACTCTCCACGTGCCAGATCGTTCCAGGTTCTCAATGGCACATTGCCAATTTTGTCACCAGCAGACCTGCCTTCCTTTGCCATTTTCTGGTAACCCTAAACCTGCTTTGCGGGGAAGCTATCTGATTGTGGCTGGACATTTCATTTCATTGTACTTCATGTTAATGAAAATGATAATTCTAAGAAAATTAGGAACATTTATATGGTTTAACAAGGTAAATCCCATCATTCTGCATTTTCTTGCTCCACGGACATTTTAACAGATATATAATATAACATGACAGTGCAGAATCTGGAAAAAATGCTTGTAATATTGCATAATCAGAAGTGAACTGTGTTGCATAACAAGATTTCTTTCTCATATGCCAGGCAGCAACCCTTATTCTATTTTTTCTTCCTCTTGTTTAAGTAGTTTTGGGTCATGGTATTAGCATATTTTCTCTGGAATTCATTGAAAATACTAACATTTTTATAATACGTAAAATAATTTTTTTTTTGTTTTTATATGCTTTGTTTATTGATATTCAGAAGTACCTAATAATTAGTGCCTATAATGCTATCCATTATAGGCACTAATTATTCACAATAACACATTTAATATATTCCATTTTCCCAAACTGTATTTCAATGCCTTTATGCCTCCCCCCCTTTTTTTAATTTACTTGCCTACCATTTTCAACATTTTACTTCAACACAACTATCTGCTTTTATTCATAAGATATCTGACAATGCCAAGGATTTTCAATAGTATTCAAATTCTTCAGTCACTGTAAATAAAAATTGAAAATTATACATTTTATTAATTTTCAACAGTTTGAAGTCATTTAAACTTAGATTACAGAGACCAGTGGTTTATCAATTTTGGTGATTCTGGGAGTCTATAAAATGATCTGTCACCTCAAAAAAACCAATAAAATAATTATCATTTTACTGTAAACATTTATTGTGCATAACACCTACCGTCCTCTGAAAGGTAAATGCTAATAAAAGCATCGGAAATAAATTATTTCATTATAATTTTATACATGAAACTGCTTCTCATAACTTCTCATAAGTAACATTATAATGACAGAAATAAAAACATTACTTAATTAGCTATTTAAAAATATATATTTTTGCAGTTCATGATATTTAAGAGCCCCATGATTCTGTGAACAAATGACACTAGACTGCTTAAACCTTTAAAAATTGTAAAAAAGAACACGATAATAGTATTCTAACAGACAAATTATGTTCATCTTCTCAAGCAGAAGTGAGATTTTGTCAGACACCAAGAGTGTGGAATTCTGTGGGATAAATGAAAACTCAATGTCTAGTTACATGCTCGTGGCTCTTAGTTTTAAAATTATTGCCAAGGCGTAAGGATTAACTCTGCAGAAAGCAAGATTTTGGTTATTTAAGGCCTACAACAAAATCATCCCCATTCTGAGTTTTATATAATTTTTCCCATGTTGTTATGCTGTATAACTTCAACTTAGTTTTCACCATTTCTTATTCAATATCAAGACTTGCTGTAAAATACACTTTTTTCGTGGCATATACTCTTATGTTGTTTTGTATTTTAAGTTTATTTATTTCACTTTTTTTTTTAAAAAAATTTGGCATATATCATACACTGTTTTACATTTTAATATATTACTTTCGTTCCCTTTTTTTCAGATTGCTTACTGTTTTATTATCCTTTGCTGATCCATTTGAACAGATTCGTTTTAGTAGAAGTAAATTTCCACACCACTTTTATGTTCAAGTTTATTTATTTATGCCACTTGCACTATTATTTAGCAAATTTTAAATATTCCTTGTATTGTGAGTTCTTTTCAACACAACGTGTCAAATATAAATATTTCTTAGTTAATTTTTTTCAAGAATTTCTGCTTTTTAATTGAGTATCACCAATTTCATGTTTATCTATTTATTGTATCTTTATGTGTATTTATGGACATATCATTTTATATTTGTAATCCTCTATTAGATGTTAATTCTCAGTTTATTTTACCAAGGTATATACACTTTTTATATTGCATTATGCAATATTTGTTTATTTTAGATTGATACTATTTTTTAATTCCTTTGACCCATTAACTTTAATGTAATTAGTTTTCCACGCAACTTTTATGCTGATTTTTAAAATTTTGTTTGCTTATTTTCTGATTATCCACATCGTGGTTTCAATATTCAGCAAAACTGTTGTATTTTCAAATATACAAGTGGCGATATTCAACTCACTCATACGTGTACCATACATGTGTTTGAGTACATGCAGATTTACACACTTAAAAGTTAGCTGTTTTACTGAATAGCACCCATGAGCTTTATGAACGAAACAACACTTATAAAACATAGACAATCAATTTTGGCCAATGTTTCATTTGTGACTCTAGCTGTAAAAATTATTTTAAATTTCTCATATTAAACTAATGGTTTAAAAAAAAAAAAAAAAACTTGTGAATGTCTGGTTATCAAAATAACTGAGTGAAAAGATATTTTTCCTTTTTCTGGTTACGTTATTGCATATGGCAAAGCATGTGAGGGTTACACGGCTGAGGCAAAGGAAATTAATATATTTTGGATCTCAAAAATATGCATAAAAATGCTTAAATAAATTATTTTCTTCTAATATTATCTTAAAAAAAAAAAAAAAAAAAAAAAAAAAAAAAAAACACGCAATTCACAGAAAAACTATTTTATATAAAAAATGGAAACATTTCCTTAGGAAATGTATACAATAAAATATAGACACAATGTACATTAAAAACTAGGTATTATCACAGATATCAAGCAATAAGTTCCCAATTTGCTGAGATACCACATCCAGTAACATAAGCAGTAACACGTGTCTGAAAGTCTTTTATTAGCTCAGATTGTAAAGTTTTCATTGCTCTCCAGTACAACATACCATACAATGATGGACTGCCTCCAGGATATTCTATTTCTAACTTCATGTATTCAAGCCAGATGTCTTAAATAATAAGAAAACAATTTAAATATACATGAATTAAAAAAATAAGGAAAAAGCATATTAACAAATTAAAACATAGTGTAATTGATACCGATGATATATCCACATACAATGTGACAGAGTGAGATTATAGTTAAATTGTTTTAAATAAAGTCACTGATTTTATAAGCAAAAGAAAGAATTTTATGCTCAAGTACCTGTTTTGCATGTAACTCAATTTCATCAGGTAGCGTTACAGCTTTTTCAGATCACCCATAAAAATACATTTAAACTTTGACTCACAAAAAGAAAACACTAATAACTGATCACCTATTATATTTTGACAAGTAAATACACATGAAAATAACCGAGAACTTTTTGATAGCCAAACATTTAATATGTTTACATTTAAAATATGACAGACCTTTTGACCAACTCAAGTTGAATACTACATTGTCCCACAGACATAATTAAGGCCATGTATCAACAAAGGGCAAATTAAAAAAATGCTTAAGAGTACTATGTGCTATATATTTGAAGTAACTGATTTCATTGCCAGGAATGGCATTACAAGCAGCAGTTTGGTTGAATCTGTAATACAGTCAATCTATTGCTATAGTCCTGAGGAAACGAATACTAAGCACAGATGATTTCTCCTGTAATTTATCAAGATCTTATTCTGGCTGATATTGATTGCAGGCAATGTCTAGTACTGACCTTGGAAATAAATCCAAGAATTGGATATGGCATGTTTGTATATGCAAGTTTTACCTGGAGACTTTAGCAATATGTAAATGGGGATTATCTAAAAAAAAGTTCTGCATATTCATGAATGATAACAAAATGGTCAGAAGACACTCAATTAATGAATTACACAATTGTCAGTTTGCCCATGATATATGCAAATGACTAGCTATCACTAGAAGTAGCTACTCCTACCAAAATGACAACTGAAAAGAAACTGGAGCCTGTCATCTTATGAAGATGTTACCAGATATTCAAACAACACATCATTAAAAAAGCAGTGGTCCATTTGTAACTTTATTTTGCAAAATTTTGGCATCAAGCCTGAAAGGTGCTGCAGTGACAATCAAGGTATGTAATAGCTGCCTCTGCACAACTTGCTTCCTGTAAACTTTAAAGCAATAATCAAGAATATCAAGCAATCTGCCCATTATAGTATGCTGATATGTTTTATATTGCAACATAATTTCTGTGGTCCTTAGTTTTAAGTTGCCATTGATTTCAAAGGCACAAAACAATTTATACACCACTTTATAAATGATCACTGGTATGACATGCAGATCATCTGTTTCAGATTTTTCCTAAGAATAGCCAGTCAGAGGAGCATCTAAAAGCAATAAACCTGCTGATGGCAAATACTTGGTATTTTAGGTTTTGTTGAACAGCTTTCACAGACACACTAACAATCTGAAATGCTGTAAGACTTTCTGCATAAGCACACCATTTCTATTGTTTCCTGCAACTTTATCTTACATACTGTCTCTAAAGTATTTCTTTTGATAAAATAAACTTTATCAACATATCATTGGACCTATGTGCATTCAATCTATAATGAATTTTTTTTTTTTTAAATTTCTTATCTTTCAAATATATAGCACATAGTACACACACAATAATATATTATCAATTACTCTAAATTACCCTTTCCATATTTTGAATGAGTCACCTGTCCAGTAATTACATATTTGTAGCATACATTCTCCTAGGTGATACATTTCGACGTATATAACTCATTGAATAATGTGTATACAGTTCACTGAATAACACAAGTGTTCCTAAGCATTGTGATAAATTAAAGATCACTCATTATTTTAAAATAACACCAATATATATAAATGTTTCAAAAGTTATGCATACCACATCTGCTTAACAACATAATTTGCATAAATTTCTACACAAAGAAGTTGGAATAAATGGAATAAGTCTCTCTTTAAAGATATGAGAAGAATTTTAAATTGTTCTTTATAAGGAAAAAGTGGTTTGCACAGATCACAAAAGATTTACTATCCCTCCCCCCAAATGAATGTTTTCCCACGCTACTAAAATTGAAAACTTTTTAATGTGATTAATAATGAATCAGAACATAAATATTTAACTGTATTATTCAGCTATTACTTATATATCTGCATATTTTTTATTATTAAAATTAACTTCCATTATAAATTTATTCTGTTAGAGTATGTATAATAAATTCTTCACTGAAGAAAATACAAGAATATCTGTAAATTTTATCACTGAACGTTTAATAAAAATGTAAAACATTATCAGTATGTAATTAAAATAATTTTATTTTTGTGCATTTAATAACCAATCAGAAACAAGAAATATTGTTGTTTACTTTTTAATAATCCAGTTTTACATATACAAGAATTCTCAGTTTCCCCTTCCTGAAAAATACAGATTATCTTGTTGAAATTAAATGTAATTAGTATGCCAGAATTTCTGATTCAATTTAAATTTCAGAATTTAATCTTACTTTCAGGATCAATAATTAACATTTATTGCAGATGAAAATGAAATCCTACCCAAAACACATTTCAAAAAATCATTTTATCATTGTTAAAAACTGAAAATAAATATAAAGATGGACTTTGAACAGCATAAAATTCTCTTATGCTATACACCTGGCAACTTAGACAAAATAATTTTTAATAACAAATACTATATAATTGATATCTGAAGGTGCAAATACTTATTTTTAAATGCAATTGAGCAACCGGGGAGGGAGACTTTTTACATTTTTATACACAAATACACTCATGAAAAGATAATTTGGAAGTGCAGCATTACTAATTACAGATAAATTATAAGAAGACAAAAAAGATGATTGAACTGTGTGACAATAAATTGCATGGTTTGCTTGCAGTTAACCCCATGTTAGTTGGCGAAGAGTAATCATAAATGATGCCATAAAAAATAAGTTTCAGTTATGTAAGTCAGTTATAGGTTAATATCTTATTTAGTTGATAAAATTTGAAATTACTTACCAATATCTGAGGAACCAAATTCTCTGATACCATCTTCATGATATTTTCTCAGCGAGTCAATAGAAGGCTTCAGCTTTAAAGTAAAATTTGATATATAAAATGGCATGATTTAATTATAATAAAATCAGTAATTTTAGTATCAAAGATAGATAATTCAGAACATACTTGCGCTTTTTCAATTATAATCATTTTCCTAACTACTTGAGGTGATAAAGGACCCATTTTCTTAAACCTGGCACAAACAAAAAAATAAATGAAACTAATTCTAATGAATAATATAATTAAAGTTCAAATGCCTGATTGATATATTAAGTTTCATTTTCACTTGAAAGAGAATGCTACACAGTATAGAACTTAGAACACAATAGATTACATGGATATAAATTTATTCTGCTTATTTCATATGTTTAAAATTTAGGTTGGACATAAGCAATTTCAGTGTTTGCTATTGCATACAGTGTGAAAAACAATATTAGTATCACAAGATCACTCCAAGGCCAAGGCACCTACCTCTTTAAGAGTTCCAGTATTTTCCATGAAAGTTTTTATTTTTTACTTTGCTGTTAGTATGAATATAAATAGCGATTTAAATAACTTTAATTTTAAAACCTTTAAACTGTACATATATCAATTACATTAAAGGTTGAGTATTTAAAACTGTCAATTAAACTTCAATATTTATTTTAAAATTTGCTTCTTTCCTTCCTATTATTGCCTAACTTCAGAACTTTATTTAAGTCAGGGTTTACAGTTTGTTTTGCTCCACGCATCTCTTAAACCATTATTAGATCATTCCTTCACTTTCTTTACCAAAGACGAAATAAGACATATACACTTTAATTATTTTTGAATGTGTTTCATAAAAAAGTGTTGATATATACCAAAACTTGAAGAATAATAGTATTTTTTTAATATTTGTAAATTAAAACTAAATATTTAACCCCTTCGAGCCGGGTAGCGAAAACGCGCGCTTATCGCAGAGGCCGGCAATGTCTTCCGCGAGTGTCTCTCCAGGGTCGGGGGCTTTTTTGCTATTAAGCCTAAATCCATGAAATTTCCGAAGTATCAACGTATTGTTTAATAATGCTCTATAGAGTATTTAAATGGCTTATGCTTTATAGATATTTATATAGATATACTTTAATTACCTTATTTCTTGTTTAAATGCATATTTTACACATTTTATTTTAATTACTCACCATTTTATGACTTTTAACATTATACATCTGAAAACTAAATATATTACTTAAAATTCTCTTTTCGTATGAAAAATTTTAAAAAAGGGATCTACACACAGTCCTACGTTACATTCCTTGAACTCGTAATAACTCATTTGCTGTTTTGGAGGATTTTTCCGGAAATGTGAAAAAACGAAGCATCGTCGTCTCATTTTCTTATCAGTCTCTTCTGAACAAAGTTTTGGAAAATGTCTTTCAGTTAATCTTTCAAAACCAATATCAGAATTTCAGAATCAATATCTGAAATATTTTGCATCATTTCTGCTATTTCGTGCTCTGTTAAACATTTTCGAAGCTTCGACATTGAAACGGTAAAAACAGAAAGAGTTCACGTCTAACAAGATCTAACTATTTTCTAAAAACTGAACTGTAAACGGAAATACTCAACGCTTTAGCACATATAAAACTTCTACTTACAATAAACAACTACCATGTGCGAATAAAGTGCGATTTAAAGAGACGTCATAAATCACGCCATTCGGAAAAATTAGTTTCCCCCGTTTGTTTATATAATCAAAAAACACGTGTATGTGAGTCATGCTTCTCTCATTTTGAGTAGAAGGTCTAATGTATATGTATCTGAAACCATATGGGCATACAGTGCCATCTTGTGGCAGAAATTATAGTTTGAAAAACGTTCCAAGGTGCTGGCACAAATACGTGACAGCCGGTAGAAAACGCAACAATGCTCTGGCACGCCTGCGTGTCGGCCGGTAGATAAGTGTTCGTTGCTGGCACGTATACGTGACAGTCGGCGCGAAGGGGTTAACAGCTTTGCGCCGACTGTCACGTATACGTGCCAGCAACGAACACACTTATCTACAGTTGACTGCATTCTTCTCTTGAAATTACCTCTGATTAAGAACTATTTTAAATCCATTCTCTGCATATTAGGCCACCATGTTTCTTGAGTCTCTTTTTGAAGCCCCTAAGGGTAACTTTACAGTTAGCAATGATATCGGACTTTAATTAATAAGTCTATTTACAACAAATATAAATATATAACTCTTCTGTTCTTGCAATGTATTCATGAAAGTTTTATTCCAATGAAGCAAAATGACGTAAAGTTTTTTTGTACAAAATATTGAGAGCGATTTTTGCCGGACAGAAAAATAGCCTACTCCTCAGTATTTTCTAATATGATACACTAATTAGCAAGTGATACAAAAAAAGACTTATCTTTCTTTACAATACTAAAAAAGCTTTCATTTAACTGAAAAATAATGCAATGATTTGAAAAACTAGTGATTTTTCTTTAAAACAAATGAGATGGGAAATCCTGCTTTGCACTGAAAATGCAGATGTATATATAAAAATTATTTAAACAAGCTTAGGTACCCCCCCTCGATGTTTAAAAAAAAAAAAAAAAAAACTACACACAGCTGACAAAGAACTAACATTTGTAGGTACAGGATAATCCCAAATCATTTAGTTAATTTATTACAAATTGGACCATCAGCTCTGTTTTGTTTCTTCTGAAGCAGATTTTAAATAACACATTCACAGTCTCACTCTGTAAAAGCTGATTTACTTCATCAAAACAGCATGTTGCTAAAATATTTATCTTAATCACAGCAACAGCAAACAGTATGAAATATTTTAAATTACTATATGCATAATATAATTTTTTAAAAAAATGAGATGACTAATTGTCAAAAAATTTGTGCTGTAGCGATATTTCTGTTTCAAGTTGGAATTATATTTCAAAAATAAAACGATTGTTAATTACAATGTAAGCTACATTGTGATTCATGAATTTGGACATACCTGCTCTAAAATATGACAACTAAACTATTTCTTCTCATTCTGCAATTTTGTTTATTAAAATACCCATTAAGAGCCTACCAAATTTCAAATAAATAAATAAAAAAAAAAAAAAAAAAAAAGAAAAAAGAAAAAAAAACTGGCAAAAAACAAAGATCTTACTTATAAGTAAAGATGAGCATATTCAAAATACTTAATATAAAATTTTATAGGATATAAAAAAAATGTTTATATCCTATAAAACAAACATTTTATAGGATATAATGTTTCATCTTAAAATACAAAAGCAATACCTTTTGTATAAATCTCTCGCAGCCTGAGTACCACTTCTAAGTGCAGTAGCTTCTAAATACATATCTTTCAAAGGTGTGCTGATTTCATTACATTTATTTATGGCTTTCTGGAAAGAAAAGTTGAAAATATTAACTTGGAAACTTAGAAAAATATTATATAAATAGAATACAATTAAAAAAAAGTTTTTTTTTTTTTTATACAATAAGCTTTTATTTAAAATGGATACAGTTTATGTACTAAAAAAAAGAAAAATAATTTATCATACAGTTTGATGGGAATAATAGATTAAATAATTCTATTTACGGAATTCATCTACAATTTTATACTGTGAAAAATGAAAGCACAGGGCACCAAAAACCAATTAAAAAAGATAAAGAATGCAATTAAATTAAGAATTTGTTATTTAGGTGCCCCATGGTTTTATTTCTCATAATATAAAATTGTAGATGAATTCAGTAAATGTAATTATTTAATCCAGTGGTCAAACCAACAGGCTGCATGTTGCCCCTGAAGCAATTTTATGTGGCTCACCAATACATTTGCTTTAATACAGTACTTATATATTTTGATAAAGCATAAATTTAGTGTGCAAGAGATTGGAATATAGTATTTATTAAGAAAATAGAAAATCACTAGCAAACATTTCAGCAATCATTACATTCCAACTGAATTCGAAGCTAGTGCTGGCTCACAGCCAAAAGTACATATGTAACACATATATAGCAATACTCTGGCAGATCCATAAAAGATGCTAAAGGAAAGAAAAGGGAGATTAATCATCATATTTCAGGAAATGACAATTTAAAATATAAATATACACATAAGAAATATTGTGCAATTGCTAATGAATGAAAATGAAAGAGAATGGATAGATTTATGATGTGACTTAAATGGAAAAACTATAGACTTTGCATGGTTGCATGCTAGGCTGCATGAATAGACTAAGATGGAATGTTTGTACAATCGATAAATTTATTCACCAGCTGAAAGTTGATAAAACTTTTATATTTTGTTGTGTCTATTCCTCCCCCCCTAGTAAGGTAATATTTTTACTTTCCTTGAGTCATTCATTAATTCCTTGAAAATTAAGAAGTCTAACAAAAGGAACTGCCTGAACTATGAGCATCTACAATCCATGATGAAGATAGCTTCCAGGCATTTTTCTTTAAGGCTACAAACGTAACTCATAATGCGTGTCAAGTTGATGACATGCATCATGAGTTGAGCTGCAGTAAAAAATAGGGAAATGCATAATTATTTACACACAATCATATGTATTTTTTTTGGCATGTGTCAATACAAAATGTAACATACAGAGGAAGGAGAATTCATATTATAAGGCATTTCTCCTGCCTTCTTGGTGTAGTGGTCTGCCCACTAGGCGCGTATTCCAGAGGTCCATGTTTCGATTCCCAGCAAAGGCGTTGCTCATTTTTCAACTATCTGGCTTTCAATTAACCAAATGTTTCTACAATATGATTGTTGGTATTTATTCTTAAGTTTTGTGCCAAAATTTGGCAATTTTCATAATTTGTTTATTTTATGTTAAAAAGAAGTTATTTAAAGGTTAATTCAACACATTAAAATTATTTGAAATGAATATCAATCTAAAAAGTTTAGCTGCTAGTATATTTGAATTAAGAAATGTAAAATTTGTTACAGATAGAAAATAAGCAAGATAAAATGGAATTTTTTCTTCCCCCTTTTTTAAATTATCATTTTTTTTATGTATGCTTATAATAAATATTTATAAGTAAAATTTGAAATTAAGTTAAAACTTAGTTTAAAAAAAATCTGGCTCCCTATTCAGCACATGCAATTTGAGTTTAAGACCATTGATTTAATCTATTATTCCCATTAAACTATACAATAAATCATTTTTCTTTAGTGCTTTAATTACCATACCCATTTTAAATAAAAGCTTAATGTATAAAAACCAGTTTTTTAACTAGATTTTATTTTTTGTTTTTTAGTCTCAATTACATGCTATCAATGACGAAACTTTTAGTCATTATTAAAACACAAGCAATAAATAAGTAGAAAATTATGAAATAAAGAAAACAACTGAACATCAATCAGAGAATTAAGAAATTGCTTTGAGAATTCAGTTTTGCAAACTGAATGTAATAACAATGTTGTAAGAAGTATTTTTCTTAAAGCTAAAATGAGAAAACAAATATTACAAATTCATCATGAACTACTTGCCTATTTTGCCAGTGCATCATACAAATGCTGCTTTCAGACCTTTACTGATTTGCTCATATGCGTTACACTAGCTTCTATACATATCACAATTTCAAATACATGCAATCTCATTTCTTTGTTGCTTTTACTATTTTCCCATATCTTTTCTATTTTTAATATCATATTAGTAGTATAAATGTCAGTAGATGTCCGCTAAGTAGTAAAGTCTATTTTATTCTACCCTGATTGGTTCAGCAGTCTGCACTTATTCCACTTCTTTTGGACGACTGGGCAAATTTTTTATCTTTCAGCACTTAGCTTATTCCATGTATTTTACTGTTAATTTAATAAATTTATTGACCTTTTTTTAACTTTATTTTTTACCACAAAATAAGGATTGATTCAGAATGTATGCAGCTAATTTTTGTGATTCAGACTGTAATTTGGAATCAGAATTTGAAATGTTTGTAAATCAGACTGGGAGTAGTGAAAGTTCTCTAGATCACTTTGATACTAGTATAAAAAAACATGGTAACAAAGATGAGAATGTATAGTTTCAACTACTTTGTGTGTTCACTAAAGAAAAATGACAGCAGCAAAAGAATTAGAAAAGAGAGTATCTGGACTGTAATGTTGAACTGTGACCCTAGCCTTTTTTTTTAAGATATATCATGCTATAACTCATAATTATTTTTTAAAAGCTAAGCAAATATAATTGTAGTAATTGTAATCAAACATAATTGTATTTTTTATTTACACATTTGTAAATATAACTTCCCAGTTAGACGAGTATGTAGCAAGAAAGGCTTTGGAGAAAAAGTTGTTTGAAATTTTTATAAATATCACGAATGCTAATTTTAATAACATTTTCCTACTTATTTTTTGGATTGAATCTGGGGGGGGGGGAATGAAACAATTAAGTGGTTCGGTGCACGAAGATGGCAAACTCAAACTGCCTTTTAATTCCACCTGCTTCAGACTGCAACATATATTTTTTATTATTCTTGTTTTAAAAGAGGATGAAATGTTTGTTTTATAATTTGTGAAAGTTTTGAAACTTTATATCTGACACAATTTTAGATGTTGATATTTTAAAATCATAAATGTCACAGTCTAAAAAATCGGGCAATTTAAAAAAAAAATCCCCCAAAATTTCAGAAATTAAGTTACAATTTCCATAGAAGTTTCATTGAAAAGCTTTTTTTCCACAGTATTTGATAGTGCAAATATCACGAATGCTAATTTTAATAACATTTTCCTACTTATTTTTTGGATTGAATCTGGGGGGGGGAATAAAACAATTAAGTGGTTCAGTGCACGAAGATGGCAAACTCAAACTGCTTTTTAATTCCACCCGTAGAATTCTGATATGCTTAGTTTGTTCATTGCATGAAGACATGTGTAAAAAATTGTTTAAACATTAAATAAAAAAATCAATTGAATTTTGACAAAAAAAATTACCACATTGCACTGTTATCAACAAAGAGTGTGTGCACAAATTTTTAATTTAATACGCAAGTAGGTTTAAAATCAATGACACAATTTCACCCACAGTGAAACACTAGGAGTAAGCTAAATAAAAGCTTCTAAAGTGTACAATTTAACAGAATTTACCTCAAAAAATTCTATTAATCTCTCAGGATCTGCAAAGGATAGCCACTCAACTCCTAATTTCCACAAAGCTATAGAGTCCTGTAAAAAAATTACAATAATTTAAATACTTTTCTTAAAATATCTAAGATTGATGAAAGATATCAATATCTAATCACAAGTACTCAACAGATTCTGGTTACTTGATAATTGTTATCATTCTGTGTTTAAAAATACTTCATATTAAAAGCATTTTTATGTTAATTTTTAGACAATAGTAAAAAAAATTCTTAATCAACATTTTCTTGGGATCGGCCATATATGTCTCAGCCATTCACTACATTAAATAAAGCTCAATATATTTTAGTTCACAATGGATATTGAAAATTTACTATTTAACATAGAGCAGTAAGTGTCAGATGTTTGAAATGTTTTCATTTCCTTCCTGCCTGAATCTTTGAATAAATGGTGTAATTAAGGAAAAAATTAAATAAAGCACATGGGAAAAGGTTAATTGAAACTACATTATTTAATAGCATTTATATACACACAGAAAAAAGGGAAGAAAGTATGACAAAAACAACAGAAAAAAAATAAAATTTGTAAATATTTATTAGCTGATTTAATAATTGTTTTATGTTCTCATTTTGTATAGCAATGTATGCTAATCAAGATTTTAAGAGCACATCAATACAGAAACAGCATTGGCATAATTTGAAATTTGATTTTTAGTATACACTTCTCTTCTCACTCTAACCAACATATTTTTGCCTAAAATTATGCACAGTGAGGGCTAATAGTCAAACATAATATCACAAAAATTATACTGTTGTGGAAGTGTTATCATCATTTTTTTAAACATAAAGCATTATAAAAAAGCATACACCATTTTTAATAATTCCAACTATTAACAGAGACTAAGAATGAACAGCAACAGATATTAAGAGCTGTTGCTGTTCATTGTTAGTCTCTGTTATTATTATATTTCTTTCTTTTAAATTGCTTAGTTTGTTAATCAATACATATTAAATTTGAAAGAAAAATTAAACATCTTAGGCTTCATCAAACAGCAACAAAGTGGCAAGCAGAAAATAAAAATATTTAATATTGGGCATTGGCAACTCATATCTTTTAAATAGCTAAATTCTTTTATTATATTTGTAAGAGAAGCACCTTATGCTCTGCCAAGCAGAAATACATTTTTTTAAATTGTTGAGTTTTCTACTTAAATTTGAAATATAAATACAGACAAAAGTCGTTAATCCGGACTCCGTGATTCCGGATTACAGATCATCAGTTTAAATCTGGTAAGATGGCATGCAGAAATTATAAAATTAAAAATATGAAACCGTAATTTTTGAAATAAAGAACAATTATGATCTAAAGGGTATCAAAATTTACAAAAAGAAAAAGCTTAATATTTATTTGTTTACTTTATTAAACATTTCTTTCAATGTAAGTTGTTTAAGTTGCATCATTTCATGTGATAATACTTTCTCTTTAATTCTATTAAACAGACATAATTTCTTGTTTATTTACAAAGTTCTGCTGTTCAAGTCCTATAATTGCTGTGTCGAGAATACCGACTAATTTGTCAATCGAAATTTTTTCGTTTTCAATAACCTTTGTCACTTTCTTCACTATCGGACGCGAATTATAATGACGAGGAACTTGATTTAAATCATATCAAAGATGGAGTACATCGAGATGAAATACTACATTTAGTAAGGAATTATAAGCCAAATAAAATAAAAACATCTGCCCTGAAGATAAGGATAGTGGTGACAGATCAACTTCCAATTCATTGTGCACCACATCGTTTCCTTCCCCCCGCAGAGCAGTGTGAAATTGATAAACATATTTCGGAATGATTAGATAATCCAAGGATATTCCTTTATCCATTTTTTGCAGCAATTCCACTTTCTGTTTAATGGACTTCGAAACATACTTTCGCTTTGTAGAACCTTTACATATTAGTAAATATATATCGGAAATTCTATTTGACATAATCGAAAGTTCAAGCCTACATTTGTAAAATTGCTCTAACAGTCTGCAAAAAATAATAAGCCAGATCCAATTTGAAGATTAATGAACAACGCAATCTGCAACATTAACTGAATTAGATAATTTTAGCTTAGCTTATACCACGTCCATTATACATTAAACACGCATGCGTAAGCGTATTATGTGCATGCGCACATGCATATTCGCAGCCGTAAAGGTCTTACGCGCACGTGTCAATGCGACGCACGCGCAGAAAGTTTGTAGCTTTGAGGTCCGGATTATAGATCATTCCAGATTATGGGTGTCCGAATTAACGACTTTTGACTGTATCTTACATATTGCGCAGTGGTAGCATGCTGCCTTTTAATCATTAAATTTTTTAATAAAAAATTCATTAAATTTGCACAAAATATAAAATAAATCACAAATATATTTGAAATTTAAAATTTCCAGCTTCGAGGTGCACATGTTCGGGTAGAGGACTAAATGTATTCAAAATTTGGTGACTCTAGGCATCACAATGCAAGGAACATATATAATAGGCATATATGTTTAATTGAAAACAGTTCGTAAGGCTGTTAGCTTTACAAAGCAACTTTTCTGATAATTATATTGACAAGACTAATTGATTAAAAAAATGCATTAATTTTCTCAACAGGAAAACTATATCTTAATGTATGCTTTTTAGTTTTCCAAATGCAAGAAATGAAAAACTAAAGATTTTTCTTAACATTACAATAAATGAGATGGAAAAGAATGTTTTTGGAGAAAATACAATTTAATATATACAAATTATTTAAATAAGCTATCAACTTACTGGTTCTTTATTTTTTTTTTTTTTTTTTACATACATATATAAATAACATTTTATTATACAACTAACTGAAAACCAACATATGGAAAAAGGATAATCCCAAATCATTTAGCTCAGTAAGCAAGGAGAAGGTACATACTAAGATTAAAAAAAAAAAAAAAAAAAAAAAAAAAAAAATCAGAAATAAATTAGCAGTCTCAGAAACGGAAGCAACAAACCTTTTCATTCAATGAACTTAAAGCTTCATTGAAAAGGAGATATACTTTTTTGCTGCTTTTCCCAGACCGAATGTGCAGGGTTAAGCATTTAATCCACAATGAAACTTGATTCCACTTCCTAGCAGCCATTAGAGAAACAGACAAGGCAGCATCATCATCTCCTTTCTCAAATAGCAAGTCAATCTAAAAATAAATTTTATTTGCATAAAAGAATGGTACTAAAATTTCACTTTTTGAACAAATTTATTTTATTCAAAATAAATTTTGTTTATATAAAATAATGATAATGATTATTTTCACTTACAAAGAGATATTTAATTCATAATACTTACCCATACAGGATAATAATTCAAAGAAAGACAGTTAGCTTCAGCAGCTTTTTCCAATTTATTTATTAAAATGGATTGAACCTTTACATGATTAAAAGAGACAAAACAGAAAACTTACATTATTAATTGTTATGCATATTGCAGATAATAATAAAACAAACATATAAAAATAAAAATTGCAATATGAAAACAATGAATTAAATTCAGATATTAAACTTTATACTCACTTTCGCTTTTTTCTTTTCTTTAGCAGATTTTAAATAATTATGAATGAAGTCAAGGTAATAACTCCACATTTTTTCTAGGCAATAAGAAAAGTTACAATGAATATATGCAAGTGCAACAATGTAACACAACTTTTTATAACATAACCTGTAAGATGGCAAAGTTGTTTATTCTGATTTCACTGGAAAAAATGGGAAGAAAACAACATTACTCTACCTATTTTGGGGTAAGCATGCCATCACATAGCGCATTTTTATGAAAATTTTTTCCTAGTATACAAGTTACACAAAAGCAAAGCCATAAAAACCTCATACAGCTAAGCAATAAATCACAAATAATGTACATAGTAAATTAGCACTGTTTTACAATTTTAGCCATTTGAGACTGCAAATTGATTTTTATAAGAGAAAAGTACCATATACATACTATTCTTATAATTAGTCCAAAGGGGCTTTGTCCCTGAAGGACTATTGTTTTCGTTTTGCGATTTTGCGTTAAATCGCTATAAATGTCCGTTTCACTTTTCAAACTGTTGCCACCAAATGTTAGAGTCCTGTATTATATTTGAAGAAATTAAATAATGAAAAATCTGTTAAATGTATGTATATTTCTCGCATTGTGATAAAACAACGGAACATAGAGCCATCGAATTTTGAATGATGTAATCCTCCTACGAATATGGGCATGTGGAAGACCAAATTTGAAATTTGGAATTTGTTTCATTATGAATTTTATATTTTCAAAAACTTTAACAAATTTTTGATTAACAAACTCAAGGATTTCAAAGCAAGCAATGGCAACACTCTATTGGGGAGGGGGAAACCTTTCTATCTCCAGCGCGCAGAACTGTGTATCGGAAATTCTAAAGATATGCTCATTTTAAAACTATTTTGCGACATTGCTATTGAACTAAATTTTATGGTTTAAATGCAAAGAACATGATATTTAATTAATAAAGGTAACACACAAAGCATTAAAAAAATGCCCCCTTTGGATGTAAATTAAAATCTGAAACCTTTCAGATTTTCTTTTTCTTTTTTGAGAATTTTCGGCATTTATTAGTAACTGCACATTTGAAATGATCTTGATCTTTCGCAGAAGTGGTCACTTCGTGAACGCGATGACTCACCAGTGGGCGAGTGGTTAGGACTACTGAACGCTAGTAGTAATAATAATAATAATGCTAATAGTAATAATAGGTTCGAATCAGTCAAATGGTTTGGCTGCATGGTTAGTTTTTATTGCTTTCTCCATTTATAACTTAACGAGCCAGTTTCCCTTATAACGTCCTCCACAAATATATTCTTTCCTTTAGGCAACTATATATTCCTTATATAGTTTGCCACATTCAACTAACGAGGGCTCGCAATCACCTAGGCGTATTATTACATACAAGATGTGTTTACTATCTTCAGTAAGTGGACTTGACTTGGCAAACCAAAAAATGGACAGAACTATTTGTTGCAAGTCTCCTGCGCAAGCGATCCATTGAATACTTCCGGGTAAATCTCTCTCTCTCTCTCTTTTTTTGTTGTTGCATAAGATTGCACGTCATGTTTATATATTATGAAATAATATGAAAGGATTTTTTGAGAGGTTGGAAATTGCCAGTAACAATAGTTAATTTTAAATTTTGATTGCATGATCTATAACGTTCATTCTGAAACTGCTACACTACTGTTTGGCTTTGAATTGTCTCAGGTGCAACTTTTTAAGTTATATCTTTATTTTAATTCTAAAAATAGTAACATATTTATATCTAATCCTTTTGACACAAATCTTTCCTTAATTGATAGTTTCATATATCACTTATATAATACAGCAGATGCACTTGCTTTCAAAACTGATGGAAGTTTGAAAGTAAACTCCTTTATACACTCATATTTATACCAAAACTTGTAAAAATAAGTCATAATAAAGTGATACCATGTTTCTATTTTAAGGAATAAAGTAAATCTGCCATTTTTAATTTATTACACTAACATTATTTCCTTCTTCTTTTCTTTCCCTTGATTACTTAAACATGTAGATTTTGAATTTTTTAATGTGAGCTCCTGCTTTCTAATCTTTTTGCCAGTCATCTACTTTTGGTGTTCTGCTCTGGTTTTGTTATATATGTTTGATATCTAACATAAGAAGGCTCAAGTAAAAATGATAAGGAGCTTTTAAGTTCATAATGGAAATCTTACAAATGATTTTTAGGGGGGGAATGTTACAAATAAGAGTAGGTAGACAAGCATTACAAACGTTGTTGAATTTTTTAATGTGAGCTCCTGCTTTCTAATCTTTTTGCCAGTCATCTACTTTTGGTGTTCTGCTCTGGTTTTGTTATATATGTTTGATATCTAACATAAGAAGGCTAAAGTAAAATGATAATAAGGAGCTTTTAAGTTCATAATGGAAATCTTACAAATGATTTTTAGGGGGGGAATGTTACAAATAAGAGTAGGTAGACAAGCATTACAAACGTTGTTCACTTTTACACGAGAAAGAATAACTTCAAAACAATATAAGTTCCTCTTTAATAAAATTAGATTGTCCTTTACATGACCTTTTATTCGCCAAATAAAACTTGCTTTCCCATTTAAACTTCCAACATCTCAATTTAAATATGAGATATTTTGTGTAGGCAACTTTAATGGACCAACCAGAGCAGGCTTTACGTATAAGCTACACAAGCTATAGCTTAGGGGGCCCCTAAAAATTAAAATACAGTCAAAAGTCGTTAATCCAGACTCGTTGGGACTTCGCAATTCCGGATTATCAATTTTTCCGTATTATAGATCATCAGTTTAACTCTGGTAAGATGGCATGCAGAAATTATAAAATTAAAAATATGAAACTGTAATTTATGAAATAAAGAACAATTGTGATCTAAAGGGTATCAAAATTTACAACAACAATGACAAAAAAAAAAAAAAAAGAGTTTAATATTTATTATTTGTTTACTTTATTAAACATTTCTTTCAATGTAAGTTGTTTAAGTTGCTTCGTTTTATGTGATAATACTTTCTCTTTAATTCTATTAAACAGACATAATTTCTTGTTCAGTTACAAAGTTCTGCTGTTCAAGTCCTATAATTGCTGTGTCGGAAATATCGACTAATTTGTCAATCGAAATTTTTTCGTTTTCAATAAATAACCTCTGTGTCACTATCAGAGGCAAATTATAATGACGAGAAATTTGATTTAAATCATATCAAAGACGGAGTACATCGAGATGAAATACTACATTTAGTAAAGAATTATAAGCCAAATAAAATAAAAACATGTGCCCTGAAGATAAGGATAGTGCTGACAGATCAACTTCCAATTCATTGCGTGCCGCGGCCATTTTTTGCAGCAATTCCATTTTTTGTTTGATGGACATCGAAACATACTTTTGCTTTGTAGATCCTTTGGGAGCTCCAGCATCGGAAATTCTATTTGACATAATCGAAAGTTTAAGCTTACTTTTATAAAATTGCTCTAACAGTCTGAAAAAAATAATAAGCCGGAGCCAATTCGAAGATTAAGGAACAACGCAATCTGCAATATTAACTGAAATAGATAATTAGATAATTTTAGCTTATAGGGTCCGTTATACATTAAACGCACATGCGTAAACGTATTATGCGCAGCTGTAAAGGCCTTACGTGCATGCGTCAACGCGACGCATGCGCAGAAAGTTTGTAGCTTTGAGGTCCGGATTATGGGTGTCCGAATTAACGACTTTTGACTAGTATAATAGACTTATAAAGTGCCACCCTGTAAAGGTTATGACAAGATGTAAATTCAGCTTGCATATTCCACACTTTTAAATCATACTAATATCCATTTCACAAGAAATAATAAGAAATATTCTGCTGCTTGTAATACGGTCTATCAGAAAGTTCTGTCTCATAATGTTAATTCAAGTTTTAACAGACATGAACATGTTTATTTGGGACATCATAGTTGCCAACCTTGAAATCTTAAAAACTTGGAAATTTTTAAGAGAAAATGAGATGATTTCATGTTGTATGGTGACACCTTTTCAAAAAAATTCCAAACTGACTGTAATTCAGTTATAATGCCCGATTCATGTTATTCAACTATTTTTAATGAAATTCTAATGTAAAAAAGTAGTATTTAATTAGATACTCTAAATTTTATATTCTTTGTCTGATTTCTTTTTAAAATTTCATTACACTTTTATATCGAGAAAACCCCAAGTCGTGAACAAAAGCTTTTATTTATCTAATTACTTTTAAATACAATGAAAATAAAATAAATAATTAATGTACATAGTATTTGCACTTGAATCTTCATATAAAAATTCACAAATGTGAGCAGCAGATTAAGACATTTCACATTAAGTGGAACTTAAAATGAAAAATTTAATAAAATCAATAATCGAATAAACAGAATGTCATAAAAATGCAATTCAGATAAAATTTAATTAAAAAGTTATTCTGAAAATCACTAAAACTGGGGAATGAAATTTGCCTAATTTAAGGTTTATTCATTCAATAAATTTGATTTATTGTCGAGAAACATTTTCTTTAATAAGGCTAAAAATTAAAAACTGGTAGAGATGGCAGCTTTGGAGACATGTGTAACTGTTTCTTTAACACTACATTTATACATAAGTGCTCTTTTGAATTAACTGAAACACAGTCGTGTAAACGCAGATACCAATAGAGTTCATTTATCATATTATTGTATTTTATACAAATTCCGACAAGGAAGAAATCATACTGAAACATGTTGAAAATTAGTGAAAGTTTTTGGTGGAGATGCAGTTTTGGACAGAACGTGCAGGAGATAGTATAAAATATTTGATCTCAATGGTAAACCATGCTATAAGCAGCCATCTTTGATCGATCACAATATTGTCAAGACCATGAGAGAGCAATATCTGCAAAATATAAAAATTTTATTTTTTTACACAATTTTTACAACATCAGAGACATTGCAAAAGCTTAACTTAGTTCAATAAACCATTTCAGACCATATTCGGTAACTAGGACTGGTCTATAAATATTTCAGATTTGTGCCTCAGTTAAGTGAAAGAAATTTACAAGATTGAGTCATCATATGGACATTTCTGCTTATTCAGAATAAAAACAAACTCTTTTTGAACCAGATGATATCTGGTGATGAAAAGTGGATTACCAACAAAATAGAAAAAAAAAAAAAAAAAAAAAAAGGATACGGTGAGCCTGGACAATCTGCCCTCCCTACCTCTGAAACAAGCTTGAGCCAGAGTAAGAGAATGCTGTATATGTGGTTGAACAACCACGGATTAACCATTACAAACTTTTCAAACCAAACAAAAAGCTTCATTTGGAGAGATACTATGAGCAGATGGATGATTTAAACAAAGCAGTCAAAGAAAAGAGAACTGGTAATGTTCAATAGGAAGCCCATCATATTGCAACATGATAATGTCAGACCACATCTTGGTTTAGCAACTCATTAGAAAAATTGAACAGTTAGGCTGAGAAATTCTGCCATACCCACCACAAACTCCACACCTAGCAACACCCGATTATCACTTATTTCTCTCCTCACAAAATTTTTTGGAAGGGGAAAAAAATTTAAACTGAAACCAAGCACTACTCCGAGTTCTTTGCCTCCAAGGCAACCCATTTTTTTGAAAATGGTATTTAAAGATTACCATCATGCCGACAGGAGGTCATAAGAAATGACAGAAATTATACTGTACAATAAATATCATTAAAAATAAGAAAAACGTATTTTTTCACTTCCCAAATGGACAGTATTTTCTGGTACAATTCCTGGTATTTTTATAAGAATTCTATCTACTTGTTACTTTGGCAGGTGCTGCATCATTATTTGTTGTTATCAGATGCATAGATTTTCCTTGAGATTAATTTAGTTGATTCACAATAATAAAATATTCATAATTAGTTGTTAACAACAATAATGAAACATAGAATATAATTTCAATAATACACAAATGACATACCGGTAGGCTGACTTTCAACTGCTTCATCATACCTAGAATATATTTCTTGACATATCCTATGCATGACAACCTCTAAATAAACAATCAGAAAATGCAATTATTACACATGTAATTGAAAGAAAATAAATACCAGAGTGCATTCATTTATTTAATACAAAAGCTTTGCAAAACTGGAGAAAACTCAAATAAATTTGAAAGTTATAGAAAACAGTCAGAAAATATGATACTGAAAGAAAACATGATAATAAGGGAGAAATTTAATAAAGATAATGAAAGAAACTGGAATTTCATAATTCTGAAATGAACAATAAATCAAGAAATACGAATTTTTACAACTATCTAAAAACTTTAAAAAATACAAAACAGGGAAAAGATTAATTCTAAATTAACAACACAGAAAGTATACATTAAAAAATGAAAGCACTGCCGGCAACTTTGAAATTTATAGCTAATTTACCCCCCCAAATTATAATAAATGCACAAACTAATATGCAAATTTAAGGAAATGCTAGAATTTATATCTACACTTGATAAAACATCTATTTAATTATTTCCCCCTTTTAATTTTAATACCACACATTGATTTTCCAATGTTCTCAAATGAGTTTTTTTAATTATTAAACTGATGAAATTAGTCTTCCCCCCGAAACAAAAAAAAGCTAAGAATCATTAATTAAACTTGATTCTATATATTTCCACAGAAAAGACAAGGTATAAATTTCACCAAAGTTGTATAGTTTTACCATGTACACTCTTTTGCAAAAAAATTCAAAGCACCATTAAGGAAGTGGTTGTTTTTGATGAAACTGAATATGTGTATAGCACATCCATAGATAATAAAATGATTAAAACATCAAGGTCATAGTACCTGTTTACGGCTCACAATCACCCATTGAGTGTTCAAATTAGTAGTTGGTCGAACTGCCCCTGGCGGCAATGCGTGCTTGAATTCGTCGAGGCAAGGAGTGGTAGAGATACCTAATGTCATCCAGTGACACAGTCTGCCAGGCATTCATCAGTTGTTGCTCCAGATCTGCAATATTTTGTGGTGCCCGAATCCGGCGGCCTATTATGTCCCAGAAATGCTCGATTGGCGAAAGGTCTGGTGACCTTGCTGGCCAAGGAAGAGTATAAACTGCATGGAGACAGTCCAGAGATATGCGAGTGATATGCGACCTGGCATTATTCCTTTGGAAAATGGCCCCAGGATGATGTGCCATGAAGGGTAATGCAACCAACCACAGGATAGTATCAACATATCGTTGAGCTGTTAAAGATGTACGGAGGATGACTAAAGATGACCTGCTGTCATAAGAAATAGTGTCCCACACCATCACACCAGGGATTATGGCTGTACACCTTTGTTAAACAAAGGCTGGTTGGGACCGCTGGCCCCGTCCTCTCCAGGCACGAATACGGTGATCATCTGCTTCAAGAGTGAAGCGGGATTGATTGCTAAACACTATACAATGCCAGTCTGATGGCAGCCATGATGATCGGCTGCGACACCACTACAAACGACTCTGCCCATGTTGTGGGATCAAAGACAAATGTCTTCGTGGCCTCTGTGAGCATAACCCTGCCTCAGACAAGCATCATGAGATGGTGGACAGTGCCACAGGAGGTATAGATGTTTCTGTAGTGCCTTGAATAGTCAAGAATGATACCGATGGGCCGGTACGGGCCAGGGAACAATCATCATATCTTGCCTCGCATTTGTGATCCTTGGCCTTCCAGAGCCTTCATTTCATCGGCAATTTCCTTGTAGGAAACATTGCTGCCAACTCTTTGGCCACGTATCTGTACGCTGCAAGTGGCGGCCTATTGCTCGGTATGACCACCCAGCTTCATGCAACACTACAATGAGATCACGTTCGAAGATGTTTACTAGTCTGCAAGGTCTTCGATATTGTTGTAATGGCATCTTTAGTTGCTTCTTTACGGAATTACAATGGCAGCAACAAAAAAGGATAAATTTTCCACCTTTGTTACTTATATTTTGTGAATTGCGCACTAGAAATTCGCAATTCCTGTTCATTTGCCTTAAAACTTTGAACATTTGCATGTTCAATCAAGATATTTTTGTATACCCAAATTAATTTCGTCATGATCGCAAAAGTCCTTCTTGGTGCTTCAATTTTTTTCCAAAAGAGTGTATATCTGTCCTATAAGAGACACCTAAACTACCAACAGCATATAAATTTAGATTAGATCAATGATTATCATCTGAATTTATTTTCTTGCATCTAGCAGCACTGCCTATAAAAGCATGAACTGAATCATGAACACACATCTACAGTTAAAAAATTTATTTTCTTGCATCCCACAAAGCTGCTTATAGAGGCATGTGCCAAATAACGGACAGAGGGGTGCAAGATGCCTTCCTGGAGGAACCCAAAACTTGCTAGTATTCATGTTACAAGTGGCAAAAACCATGAAAATCAACTACACAGCAACCTGTTAGCCTGTTACCAAATCTAGGTCAAGCTAGCAAATATCAGCCATTTTAATCACTTGGCCACTAGAGAGACTCTTAACCATATAATGGGTTGTTATGAAGCTATTGACACACACAAGTTTCCACAACATAGTAACTTCAGCATTAAGTCCTTCATGAATAAGGAATAAGGGATTATGGGATTCTCATAAGATAAGTAATTAAGGCTATAAAACCTGATAAATAAACTTCACTGCCAGGAGATTGGTTAGTATTTGTTCAATATTTGGAAATAAAACATTTTAAATACAGAATACAGTCAAATTGAAATATTTTAGTTTGATTTCAAAATTAAGATATTTTGAGAGTTATAAACATACTTAACAGTCTCACTTAGGTTAGAAGGTGGTATATTCATACAGAAGATTGTTATGATTATCAATATTGATTTTTTTAAAGTTCTTAAAAATATTTGTAACTTTTAGAGCAGGTTGACACAAGAAGCTCTGCATCAACATAAAGAAGCTATTTTTTTTTTCTCCCTTCTGTAGATGAGACAGGAAAAATCTTCCTTCTGGTTTAAGAGAGTAGTTATCTGTATTTTTAAATAGCAGTCAATGTACTGGAGTTTAAGATAATGCTAGAGGTTTGCAATGAGTTTTTCTGACGTACTATCAAAAAGATAGGACAGTCAAAAGTCTAATTTAACTCCTTAGTTTTATTAAAACATGTATCAAAATGATAATTAAATTTATTACTTTTCTTTAAGCCCATTTCTTTTCCTCTTTTAACTTCATTTTCAATGTATAACAACGGTCGTTTAGCAAGAGCATCTAATGTTTCTTCTTTGTCTGGATACCTTCTTTGAACACTTGAGAATATGTACATAATAATTATTAAAAACCTTTGACCAATGCAGAGCATTATAGTACAAATTTAAAAAATCATAATACAAAGACAAGTATTATAAGATAGCAAGTGTATAATTCAAAAGAAAGTAAATAAAAGTTCATTTAACTCAAATCACAAAATGCAGAGTCTTTAAAATGTTTAAATAGGATTTAATTAATAACACTTTTTAATGAGAAATCCAAATCTATAAAGGCACATCAAAACACTCGGGTGAAGAAATTGCATGGATTCAATAAAAACTGTAAGCAAAATGCACAGATATATAATTAATATTATTTAATTCCTAAACAAGGTTATTTACACAGCTTATAGATTTCAGGGTTGATCTTTACATTATGGTAACTTCGCGATATTTTGGCGAAAATTTGGCAACCAACTCTCCTACAGCAACCCTCTATTTTTTTTTCCCAGCCGCCATTTTGTCTTCACGAAGTAAAGACATGTTTCTTTTCTTTTTATCTACTGAACACTTCTTCCAACAATCTACTAGCCGAATTACACTTATGCTAGAAATTTTATCAAACAAAACTGCTTAATCATGACAAATATTCACTGCAAAATTGGGAAAAAAAAAAGCACAATACCCATAACTCTTACGCGTTTTTCAAATAACACATACACATAAACCATGTACATGCCGACTTATTTTTACTTAAAAAAACATCCCAGAATTGCACAAAAATGGCATTGCGCACACTCTTCACTATATCCATGTACACCGCTTTTTTCTAATAAATTTAGAAAATTTCACGAAAATGCATGGACAAATTTTCTGAGTCTTTAAACCTGGTAAAAAGAACATATATGAAATTACCTGATCGCAAAAAAGTATTACCCTTTCCAAATATGAACATTTCCACAGATAAAATAAATAAAATATCCAAAAACTTTTACCTCTAAATCATCTATTATATTATAAACGTCACCAACGAATTCATACCGCAACCATTACAAATACTTAGTGTCAGATATTTAAATTATTTCCATGCACGTTTACTTCAACTAAAACGTATACCAAATTCCTACAAACATAAAATTCACAAAATAACTATCATTTCATTAGAATATAATTTAATACAAAAACACAACTTAAAATATAAATGAGCACACATTAAATTAATAAAAATTACCTTACAATCCTAATTACTTTAAACTAAATCATTGCTAATAACAATTTTCCCAATAATACCAAATTCCTTTCCACCTTACATTTAGAACAATGCATAAAAATAATATCCTCAAATAATTAAAAATACTAACTTACCTAATCTTCTTCAGAATCTTGATTACGTGGCAGATACACTTTTCTAATTCATTCAATAAAATTATTGAAAGATTTTTTCTGCGAATTTTTCCTCCATACTTCCTCCGCTAAATAAAAAGCAAACTTCTCTTTATCACAATGCCTAAATACCCATTTCGAATTCACTTTAGTTAGGGCCATGGGATCCAAAAATTAACCAACACTGTTTCACAAAACACAGAATAAAGCTAAATAAAAAATTTCCAGATTTTTTCCCGATTTCCCCCCTTTTCCGCTTAAAGAACCGTAATTCGTCCATTAATATCACATGACATATCCCATGATCTCTCATTTCCTCACGCAAAATAATGCGTAATCGGAACTGAGTACTGCTCACATTATTACCAAAGTCCCAGGTAGTAACCTTTATCACCTCCAAAATGTCGCCAAACTACCAGTTACCATATTGTAAAGATCAACCGATTTCAGTTACCGTTAACTAATTTTTAGAGAAAATAACCTTCATATGATGAACAGCAACTAGATGGCAACTTAGGTCACACGTAAAACCAATCTGTTCCTATTAGATATAATTCCTAATAAATTTAATATTTTCAGAAGGAAATTTAAAACTTTGCTGATAATCCAGTGATGTTAATCAAAATTATTTTCTATTCGAAAACTGATGGGGACAAAAAAGGAAAGTACAGAGGATAAAATATAAAACTCTTACTGTTTCTACTTATGCATAGCATTTCTCAAAGATATGATTTGCATAGCATACTATTTTATTATCCTTTATGCCCGGTTACAGAATACAGCAATATCTTGCATAACATGACCTCAATCAGTCTGGATATACAACAGTCTGGTTTAAAAATTTTAAAACAAACTAAATTTTAATTGAGCAAAATAAAAATAAATTCTAAAAAATTAACACACACCATTTTTACTTCCTTGTATAAAGTAAAGGAAGTACTGTAATCATGAAAAATTCCACATACTATATTTCAATGAAAATATCCATTTCTGACTGCTATTGAATGCAATTTAAAGGTGTTTTCCTGTAATATTTGTACATATGGACAAAATAAAGGACTCATTTCACCACAAAAAATTATAAAACTGATTTAAAATGGATCCTTGCAATCTCACTGGCTCTGGAAAACCTCAAGATAAAGATAGTTTGTTTCTCTAAAGCAGTTATTCTAATCGATTCCAAAGCAGCCATCCAGGCTGTAGTTATAAATCATGACACAGATACCCAGATTATCTCAGAAATAAGACAAACCTTGAAATTTCTTTATAAACACAACAAAATAATCATTTTTCAATGGATCCCTTCACATGTAGGTATTGATGGTAAGGAATAGGCAGACTCACTAGCCAAGAGAGGAACACTGCCACAAGACAGCAAACCACTTCCTCCACAGTCACTTAAAAAGCATATTTTTGAGAAATTAATGGATACTCTTAAAAATCTGACCAGGCAGTAAAAATAACAGGCAAATCCTGGGCTAACATTCAAGACACATGAAAAAAGTTTTGCCAAAACCTCGGTAAAGAGGCTGTGGCAAACTTCAGACTGCAAACAGGTCATGATTGCAAGGCACTTGGCATCCTTCCATCTAGTATACACCAAATTTGCAATTCGGTCATCATGAATGCAGAGCATCTTTCTATATGCCCAGAACTAGATAAAGAGTCTCAGAAACACAGTGAGATAAGTAAACTATATTGGAATGCCATATTGGAATGCCAGAGCTTTCATGAACTTCTTATAAGGGTTACATTTCTTAAGTTCCTTTCTTTGTTACTTAACCCCTTAAGGACCCAGCGGGTGGAGAACGAAGCGCAGTCATGGGACATGAAAAAAATTACAAAATTTAAAGGAAAAAAAAAATCCTGTGGGTAATTAAATTCCAATTTAAAAATTCTGCTGTGTGTGAAATGATTCAAAACAACGATCGACATACAGTCCTACACTGTATATTTTGAACTCAAAATACGTTGTTTGCTTTTTTTTCCCTTGGTTTTAGTGCAGACAACGCATCTTGTCCTACCTTTATTACCTTTTCTGTCAACGTAAATTTTTGGAAAACGTCCTTGCCGCCTGCCCTGGGTAATTTAGTTTGAATTAGCAGACAAAACTCTTTCATGTTTCCTTTGCAGAAATCATTTTAATCACAATTTATAATATCTAGAACAGCGGTCATTTCATATGACTGCTGGGCTTTCTAGTTATATATAATTACATTATATGTAATTATATATATGTATAATGCCTGGGTCATTATATATAATGATCATTCAAGGCATTATATATAATGATCTATTAAATCAAGTAAGAAAAAAAATAAAGGCTAGCTCTTTCCTGAGAATACGAATGAATAAGACGTTGAGAAAGCTGATGGCTGATGGTCTTTCCCCTTCTGTAATAACATTGTAATATTACTTTCTAATTAAACAAGAAAGCTTATGTTAAATTTTATAATAAATGCAATAAAGGACAACTGGTCTTGAATTTTTCCATCACGAATGTTCGGCGACGTTACATCTGCTATAGTCAGCTCAATGCACTTTCCTAACAAAAAAAGCAAATAACATAAACGAAAACAAAGAGCTGGATACACTTACCCACATTCTAATAACAAAAAAAGCAAAAACAAACAAACAGAAATTCCTAACGAAATAAACAAAAACACCTGTGCCCTTTTAATTCAAAGACGCACTTATAAAGAGCTGTGATTCACAGTTTGTTTATACCAATAAATCTATCAAAACCAGATACCAATGCTACTACATAAAGGTCAAATGCATATGAACCAACTCATGTGAAAACAGTTACCATTTAGCTCCATCTACTGGATTTTAAAAATTCATATAAATCGTTCCATTTTAAAGTTACGTATATGGGACGCTGGGCTGGTAGGAGTAGAATCGTTGCGTCACGTATACGGGACGCTGGGCTGGTAGGAGTGGAGTCATTACGTCGCATATACAGGACGCTGATCCTGAACGGGTTAAATTTTTAACTTATTACTTTTGTTCCCATGTTCATTTATTCTTACTTTATAAATGTTTGTTCTTTTTTATTATTTATCATTGTTCTCGTGTGATACTTGAGCTGTTTTATACGTTTGGATTGATCTTTCCTATAAAGCCATAAGTAACAACAACAATTTTAAAAGGCAATCAATTCTTTCCCCCTTCTGGGAGGAGTAGGGGGTTTAATAGAATGAACTGAACTGCAGACGTAAAATCTATCTAGCTATATATATGTAAGAAAATATAATTTTAGAGATACTCATACAGAAGCATGAAAAAGAGAGTGACATAGCCTCACTATAACCTTGAAACTACATTTCCAAATGATACCCAAGATGAACCGGTACTTCTCTTCTACTTTATTGCACATAAATAAATAAATAAATAAATAAATAAAAATTTTATGCAAATTTCATTTAAAAGATTTTTTTTATACTCTATCTGATAATGCAAACAATAAAGTTTTGAGATTTCCATTTTGTTCATTAAATGAAGATATGTGCATAAAATTTCAACATTAAAGAAAAAAAAAAAAAAAATCACTGCACCACACCGATATTGTCTTTCACAAACAGAGTATGTGAGTATGTATTTGACCTCCATAGTTTATCAGAAAGTAGGTAAAAAATTAATGACAAACACCACAATGGAGCTAAATAAAAGCTTATAATAATAATAAAGCATAATTCTTTCAGAAGCCATTCACTACTTCTAGTAACATCTGTAGAAACAGTAAACAATGTTAAAAAAGTAAAATGAATCAGCCAATCTGATTCATGTCCGTGACATCATTGTTTGCAGTATAAGTAAAGGGAAGGAAGAGAATGGCATTTTTGAATGTTTCCTAAAAACAAAACTCTTTCATGTTGCCTTTTCCTCCTCCTGCTAATCGCAGCTGTGCAAAGAAGTGCTGCATGTAAACAGGGCTTTATATATCTTTTTATCAAAATTTAAGCATAAACTCCAGGAGAGGGCTTTCTGGCAAGCAAATAAAAGTGTCACATTTCATAAACAACATCTTTTTTGAAGATAATTTTTCTAGTGATTGATTAGTTTACAAATGTCAAAAAAGAAGGGTTACATATATTACATATATGGAGCTTTCAATATCAATGGCAAACATTTTACAATCAGGAACTCTTCTACTGAGAAAGATATCTCAGTAGGTAATTCCATACATCAGTTTCAATAACACATTACATGAACAAAAAATTTTTGTTTTGGTATAATCTGCTATCTCTTAAAATATGGCTCAAGGATTTTAAAACATCTTTTAGATAATAAAATAGTTAAACATAAAACAGTATTCCATCACATAAAATAACAAATCTTATTCTTACTCTTCCAAAATATGGTCTACATGTCTGCTTGCAAAATCAAACTCTAATGCAATTTGAACGAATGATAAAGCAAAATTTACATCTGCAAAAGAAAAAACAAGAATATATGCAAAATTTATACAAAATAATATAGTAATTTAAGAAAACAAATTTAATTATATGTATAAAATCAAATAAAAAACATATACGAAAAATTTAAGAATGAAAGAAAATTTGACATAATTACATGCCCATCCCTCTTTTTTTTTAAAACTTTTTTTATATTAATTAATATAAAACATAGCATCAATATTTATATATTTAATACTTAACATTCTTAGCTGTATGATGAATATGTCAACACAGTTAACAAATACACTGATTAGTAAAGAGATTTGTACACAAGAAAAAGCTACAGTTCTGAGAAAAGGTTTGAAAAATTATACACCCATTTTTTAATAAGTATTAATTAAAAATTCAGTGGTACACTGCACAAAAAAAAGGGGGACAGTTCTATATCTCTCATTTTACTCGGCCCCTTGACAAAATTTAACTTGCGCTTTTCATATTCCAAAAGCGCGACTTATTTATAAATAGCATTGTTCAAATGTACGTATTTTGACACAAAATCGGACATTTTCTGAATGGCAAGCCAATTTTTTTCCATATTTTGATCCTAGAACTCAAATTATGCCCAACTGCCATGTTTTGTAAAAATTGCAAGAGTAGTTTTTAAAAAATGACCTCTCAAAATTTTAGCTCCTCTATGTTAATTTAATTTGTTACATATTTATTAATCTCATTTATATACATGTATGTTGCAAAACTCAAAAACAAATAATCTCAGGGCGTGAAATATTGATACGGGACTGCTTATAACATGTATGTCCCTCCCTTTTTGTTGCAAAACGCTTTCAACAAAGTATATACAGTAAACTCTCGCTACAACAATACCCGATACAACAATAACTGCCTCTACTACAATAACGTTTTGTGGTCGGTTGATTTTGCATATAAACTAAGTTAATCTCCCCTCAATATTGCTATATTCTCTAGAACAATAAACTCTGTAAAACAATTTTTTCAATCTAAATTTCCAGATTATTCTCCCTTTATAATAATTTTGATTTTCAAATGCTTTTCTTTT